CCTCCGAAGCTGAGCGCGCCGCCGCCCCGGCCTTCGACCCGCGCCGGCCGCTCCGGAGCTCGGGTTCCAGGAGCAGCAGCGCTCGTACACTTCAGTTCCCAGCCGGGACTGGAGCAGGGCGCTCGCCACTCGCTTCTGCGAAAGCCACTCGACAGCGGCGGAGGAGAAAGAGGGCGGGAGGGCGCGAGCGGGCGGGCGGGGGAGGAGGGAGGGTGGGGAGATGGAGAAGGAGGGAGGGACTGAGTTTCCTCCTCCTCCTCCTTCTCCTCCTCCCAGCAGCTGGTCCAGCCAGGCCTCAACAGCTGGAGACCTGTGCTGAGAAGGGGACTGCAGAGGTTCTCCAGAGCCGAGGCTGGTGGAAATGTAGTGGTAAAGAAAATAGGAGAAAGAAGATGAATTCGGCCCACTCCCTCGACCCAGGTTTGAGAGTTGCTACAGAGAATCCTCACTCCTTTGAACAAGCCCTAAGAAGTTATTTGTCCTGCTCACAGTCTCCTCTAAAACAGAGAGCCTGGATTGAACTTTATTTTTCTTCTTACTATGTAAATCAGGCAGGACTCACAGAAACCCTCTTGCCTCTGCCTCCAGAGTGCTGGGATTAAAGGTGTGCTCTACCTGGCCCAGTTTTAGATTGAATTTTAAAAAAAAAAAAAAAAAAAACTGTACTTGAGAACGGTCCTTGAAGCTGGGTGTGGTTCATACCTATAATACCAACACGGAGGAAAGTGAGGCAGGAGGGTCTTACTTTGAAATCAGCCTGAGGGGGAGGACAGACCTGCTTTAACCTGATCTGTTCTCTGAGAAACAGCTTCCAAATGTCTCTGACCACTCCCTAGTCCTTCATTTTCAGAGTCTCTGCAACAAGTCCTTCATTTTTCTCCTGCCCTATTTAGGAGGAAGGCACGCATGAAGACTGGATCCTCCTCATTCAGCCCATTTATTGACTGTCCACAACAGACCTGACCCAAGCAGGTGCCAGGGACTGCCGCGACCAAGGACAGAGTGACAGTTCTTCCTGGATTCCCATGCTGTGAAGGAAGGACACTAAGCCATAGAGACTGGAATCGGAGTCTCTTTAGAGAGGCCACCATCTGAAGTGGGTCTTGGGGACCTGTAGGAATAGGGCAGATTGAAGGAATGTCAGTTGTGGAACTGTATAACTGTCCTGAGGGATGGCCAGCTAGGAAGCTTACAAAGCCTTCTAGGGACTACATTTCATCATTCCCCATTTCTCTGCCTGGATGGGAACTCCTTTTATTGTCTTTTGCCTTTGGATCTCAGTCTGGTATCAACTCAGGAATTCTTTCTTGGGAGTCAAATCAGGGCCAGGAGCTCCATGCATGGGCACTGAGAAACCCCCAGTTCCTTTGCCTGTGTACCCCACTGGATGGTAAACTCTGCAGGACAGGGATATGCCCCTTGTTCGTGGTTAGATCCTTAGATCCCTTGTGTCTAGATGGGATTTGGCAAAGATGGGACTTAATCCATTCTTGTTTATCAGTCGGTGATTAGAGGGAATGAGGTTCCAAGCAAGGCTCTGATGAGGTCAGTCTAGCCAGAAGTATGGAGATAGGCCAGTGACCAGCGTTAAAAGGTAGTGCTAGGGTTATGGGAAAGCAGATGGGAAATGTCAACATTAACTATTGAGGGTCTGATTTTAGGGTGATCAAATATCCTGCAACATGTCTCCCTTTTTGTCTAAATAAAAAAGAAAAGTTTTTTTAACTCTTACACAGTAACACTATATACAATAAGAACAATTATCAGGTATTGTCTAAATAAAAGAGAAAGGTTTTAACTTTAACACAGTAAAACTATATACAATAAGAACAATTATCAGGTATTGTCTATAATAAACAAGAAAGGTTTTAATTCTAACACAGTAAAACTATATACCTTAAGAATAATTATCCAGGGGCTGGAGAAATGGCTCAGAGATTAAGAGCACTGGCTGCTCTTCCTGAGGACCTGAGTTCAATTCCTAGCAACCACATGGTGGCTTATAGCCATCTATAATGAGACCTGATGCCATTTTCTGACATGTAAGCAGAATATTGTATACATAATAAACAAATCTTTAAAGAAAGAATAATTATCATTGAATAATTACATTCACAATGTCCAGTCCATTTGTATTTGGCAAATTTGGAGAAACTACCCTGTTGTTGGTTGTTTTTAACTCTTTCTCTTTTGACTCTTTGTAGGGCCTGCCACCCAGCTCCCAAATAAATGCACATAGGGGTTTATTCTTACTTATGAATGCCCGGTCTCAGCTTGGCTTGTTTCTTGCCAGCTTTTCTTAAATTACCCTGTCTATCTTTTGCCTCTGGGCTTTTACCTTTCTCTATTTCTGTACACCTTTTCTTTCCTTCTTACTTTGTGTCTGGCTGTGTAGCTGAGTGGCTGGCCCCTGAAGTCCTCCTCTCCTTGTTCTTTTGCTCTTTCTTCTTCTCCTCCCAGATTTCTCCTTCTATTCATTCTTTCTGCCTGCCAACCCCCGACCACCACCCTATCCTTTCTCCTGCCTCACTATTGGCCATTCAGCTCTTTCTTAGACCATCAGGTGTTTTAGACAGTCAAAGTAACACAGCGTCACAGAGTTTTAAAAAATGCAACATAAAAGAATACAACACATCTTTGCATCATTAAGCAAATGTTCCACATCATAAACAAATCTTAAAATAATATTCTATAACACTACTCTATTATCTATCCTATCTTGGTAAATCCAAAGTTTTATACCTAAACCACTTTCTATCATAACTTGTATTGCCAATCTAAAAATATCTTTTTAGACCTTAAAACATTTTCTTAGATAAACAACTTAAGCTTTTATGTCTCTCAACATTATAAGCTTTACATCTCTTTTTTAAGTTTCTTTCCTGAATTTAGTAACAACAACAACAACAACAAAATGGTATAACTATCTAGTCTTCAACTGCCATCAGAGACCCGAGAAGGATAAAATATTACCTGAGTAAACAGGAAGTACAGGACAAGCAACTTCTAAAACTATAAAGGTAACAGAGACAGGTGGCTGCCCCAAGTTTCCTCTGTAACTTTGGGGCATTCATCTTCAGCCTACAGGCCTAGAATATCTGTCAGACTTTTCTGTGGAGCAAGAATTTTGAAGGACTGACCTACTTTATCTTGCAAAGTTCAGCAGTCAGCTTCCTACAGCAAGATTTCTCAAATAAGGTCAGATTACAAATATTCCACAATAACTTCCTTTGTGTCCTGCTTGTCCAATCTGGATAGCATGTTGTCCACAGTGGAGGCAAAGGCAGTTTTTGCCCAGTGGCTAACTTTGCCACAGTGAAAGCAAACTCCAAATGCAGGATCTTTGATGTCCATCATCTTCTCTCAAGTAGATTGGTGCTGCCAGGAGCAGACATGTCTCCCTCTCACGAAAAGCCTTATGTTATTAAAGCATCTGAAATGCCATATTCTGTAGCTTTCTGAAGTGTTCAAAGACCACCTATCTATCTAATATATGTGTTTAATCCTCAAAACATACCTAACATGACTACAAGTTTGATTGTTATAGATGACCAACTACTAATCTGCATTTGTTTGTTTGTTTGTTTATTTTTTATCCTTGTGTGATTGGACTCCAGACAACCTGGGAATTGAACCCAGTTCCTCTGGAACACCAGTCAGTGCTCTTAACTGCTGAGACAACTCTGTCCTCTCCTAACCTTGCATTTCTTAATTATCCTAAACAGTTTATAATAACAGCTTTCAAGAACTAGAACTTTACATTTTACATGAGCTACATGGTACTATGCCTTAAACAAGAGTAGAAACATATATACAGTATGTTATAATAAAAATAACCTTAAATTTGTATTAATATACAAAAATCCATACCAATGAAAAATATTTGAGACAAATAGTTGCTTTTTAGTCTAAAAGTAGATTCAATAATCTACCCTTTCATCCTATCTTCCTATATTTCCTCTTTTTTCTTTTCATAAAGAGATCCCTATATCTAACTTCCTTTGTTAGCTTTCTCCCTGACCATGACCAATAACAACTTGCAACTAACCCCCTAAACAATGACAAACATCTATAACCACTGAACAACCAAAAACCACCCATACAACTCTTGGGAATGTGGGTGTCATGTTCTTAAAATTACTTCTGCCTATCTGGGGGTGATGGACAATTTAGGGGACCCTGAGAAAATTGAGATAATGGTAAGTCCTGGGAGAGCTAGCCATTGTCCAGTCTCAGTGTGATAGGAAAGTACAAAGCTTATCTTAAGTCCTGGTTGGAGAGTCTGTGAGGCTGGACCATCTCAGCTAGCAGCTTTGAAGTTATCCTGAGCACTTTATAATTCAAAACAGATCTTTGGGTGGTGTTTGTCAGCTTAATGACATTACCATAGTCCAGGTGGATTTGCCATTACAGGGCCCCATCATCCTTTTGGGGACCTCAAGGGTCACTCTTAGTCATGGTTCACTGCAAAAAACTTAAACATTTTTTTTTTTTTTTTGGTTTTTTGAGACAGGGTTTCTCTGCGTAGCTTTGCGCCTTTCCTGGAGCTCACTTGGTAGCCCAGGCTGGCCTCGAACTCACAGAGATCC